ACACACACACACACACACACACACACACACACATATATATATATATATAGGATTTAGTTCAAATGAGAACCAAGTCCTAGCGTGAGAACCGTGAGAACTGCTATTTTTAATTGTATGAAGTGCTATGATTGAGTGTGTTTTAGTGCTATTTTTAACCAGGATATATTTTATTAAAAATAGCAACACAATTTATATTAACATTTGTAGAAATGATAGCATCATATAATACTAAAAATAGCATCATACACAATTAAAAATAGCATCAAATGTGGTTCTCACGGTTCTCACATGAGGGCTGATTTTTATTTGAACCGGCCCCTATATATATATATATAGACATTAGATCGGATGATCTAATAGCTAAAAAAAATCTAAAATTATACCTTCCTTGAAGACAATGTGGTAACTTTCCACAACTCACACACTAACACAAACATAACACAAACTCACGCACACGCATACACAAACACACACACACACACACACAGGCACACACACTCACACACAATACACAATACACAACCTACACACACTAACATACACACAAACTTATACACTAATGCACATAGACACACACTTACACACAAGACACAACTAATACACAGTCACATACTAACACACACTCACACACTAACACACACATAACACAATCTCACGCACGCACGCACATGTATACACAAACTCACCCACATACACAGACACATACAGTAATACTTACACGCACTCACACACAATACACAGTACACAACAAACACCCATAGACACACTCCAACATACAGACACTAACACACATTAGCACACGTACACTTCACAAACACACACATACACAAACTCACTCACACACTCACACACATACAAAAACGCATAAACACGCACACACATATACAAACATAGAAACTCATGCACACACATACACACACACACACACTCATACACATACACAAACACACACTAACACACACAGGCACACACACAGAGACACAGACACACCCACACACTAACCCACACACACAAACTCACACACTCATGTTCAAAACACACAAGCTCACTCAAACTCACACAAACACACAAACTCATGCACACACTCTCACACACACACAAACTCACACACTCATGTTCAAAACACACAAGCTCACTCAAACTCACACAAACACACAAACTCATGCACACACTCACACACACATACATACACACGCAAAAACATATAAACTCATGCACACACTCACACACATACACAAACACAACAGGTGCAATTTCATAAATTTTTAATATAATACAATTTAGTTCGTAGGTCAAATTTATAATTTATCAAAATTTTAATAATTGCACATTAATGTTCAGTGCATTGCACGCTATAATGTTTGAATATGCACATTAAAAATAACTACTCTACAGACTGCATTAGTGTCTGCCATATTGCACCTTAGCGTAACTGTGCATTGCAATGACTAAAATACCCCTGTGTGAAAAAACAAAAGTCTACTTATTTACAGGAATGCCACTGCGTGTTTGACGAAAGCTGGACCTTTTGACCATGTATAGAGCGTTGATATATCAAATCCAAGTACTATGATTCATTCTTATTTCTTCCTGTACCCCTCTTTCACATATGATCCTACCACTTTCTCATATGAATCATAGTCCTTGGATGTGATATATCAACGCTCTAGACACGGTCAAGGGGTTCAACTTTAGTCAAATGCGGTGGCATTCTTGTAAATAAGTGGAGCTTCGATTTTTCACGAAGGGGTAATTTTGTGCTAAGGTACAATCTGGCAAACACTATAGTGCAATGTGTCTATCAATAATGTGCAGTTTGCCGTGAAAGTATTTTTATGTGCAATTTTGAATGTGATATTGTCCAATGCACTGAACATTAAAGTGCAACTATCAACTTTTATTTATTCACAAATTTAACCTATGAACTAAATTGTAATACAGTTAAAAAAATTTATTTGCAAGTAAGTCCCTTAAACTTGTCTAATTTACAAAAAATGGCCCAAATTCCCAACCTCTAATTTCTGAATAATGGTGTTACTTGTTTTCCTTATCTGGTCTCGGCGTACGACGCAGGCATCGAGACGGGCAAAGGCGGAGGTGGGGAGGGCAGAGATGGCAGCCTCGCCGAACATCATCAAGCAGGAGTTGGAAGCCGGTGACAGCGGGATTTGGACGGGGCGACTGAGAGGAAGAT